AGCTTGGCACCGTGAACGTCCAGGGTCTTCAGAGGAAGACGACATAGTGTATATAATAATGTTTATAACCCCCCCCCCCCGTGTAATCTTATATATATTTATTAGTGATGGTAATAATTATAGTATTAAGTTCTTGACTTTATTTCCCTTCCCCTTTAAGTTACTTGCGTTACGGATCTCATCCCTTGAAAGCCACTACTGGCATGGGGCCGGATACCCTTCCTCTAACAACATCAGAGTAAGAACCCAGTTGCGACCCGAGAGGGCCGTAACAAAGTGTTCCAGTACTCATATAGTAATTACAGAGTTCAGCATGGTGGGAGGGGATTGGGGTTTAGTGGGGGTGGATGGGGGTGAGGGTAAGGTCATCCCAAAACCTCGTCCATCTCACTATGCCTCAAACCACTAACCCAGATGTGTGTAATTGCGAAGCTCCTGGGATTGATGTTAAATAATAATAAAAGAATAAAAATTATATATAATGGGTTTACTTCTCCTAACTATTTGTTTACTTATTATTCTGTATAGCGAGAAAAGCGTGTAAGCTGATAACTTGCGGGTGTCAAGTGTGAGGGGAGGGAGCGATCGGCTAAGGTGTGCGGTGTCGCCTCATTTAGCCTCAGTCATATGTCAACCTTTACAGAGGCGAGCCGTCTCCGAAGGCTTGCTCCCCGCCAGAAAATGTTTCCCTCTTTCAGTAAACGCTAACCTACTGACTTTGACTGAGTTTACTAAGTGATGTGCCGTGTGGATACACTTCTCAGGTCTATGTGTCAGTATGTGGTCCTGGTCCGTACCACTCTAGAAGGTAAGGGAGGGGAGGGAGAGGGGTGCCCATCTCACACACCCTGTTTACAAAACAGTTCAGCTAAATTCTCACCCTCATTTGTACACACCGCTCCTAGTACAGTTCACGGCTCCTATGTGGTCTGCTGGTATGTGGTGAGAACCTCATGTTTATGTGGTCGTGTGATGCTGCTGAGTATGTACAGCTCTGGAAGCTATGCGTGGGGGTGTGGACTGAGGAAGTGTGTGGAATTGTCAATTGATTGATTGATGATGACTGTCACCTGCATGGGAGGGTGAGGGGGGGGGAGGCTGCGTCATATAACCTTACCTCCTTAATGCGAACACAGACTGCTCAAGCGTCAGGGCACGACATGGAGGAGCCCCATCGCTCCTAGTATAGTTCTCATACATTGCGTTATGTGGTCTGCCTGCTGCTATGTGCCGGTGTGAGCTGTGTCAGGAGTATGGTACGCGGTATTGCTGTCACTCCCAGCAGTGTGGTGGTGGTGTTGGTATGTGGTATGTCCTGCTATGTGGATGGAGGGGGGGGGGGGAGGGCGTGACTGACTATAAAAGAGGTTGATGATGACATTCGCAACAGTTAGGCCTCAACCTTTGAAGAGGTAACCCCTGTGGTCATGTGGTGTCACTCCTCAGAGCTATGTGGTAGTTATGGCCCGCATATCCTTAGCGCTCTGGAAGTAGGGAGGGTACATAAAACTGTCATTCTTTAAGAAAACATAATGACTCTACTTTCACACACAAACCCACTGCCAGCTGTTACCTCCCTTTCCCCCTCCTGCTCCCTCATTCTCCCTACATGACCGCATACCAACCCCTACCCAACATGACACTCTCTCAAGTGACGCCTGGCCGGACGCCACGCATCAAAACATCCGGGGAAGCCACAGAAACCTTTGAAATGATGTACACATGCCCACATACTTATCCTCTTACCTACATGACACACAACGACCCATACATTTTACCCTCTACGACCCACAACGTCCCCATTTTACCCTCTGCGACCCACAACGTCCCCCCGGATGCAACCCGTCCCATTCTACAGACACCCACACCACTTTTGACTGTGACCGAGTTCGATCCACTGAGGTTCTCCTCAGGTTTGGGATGATCGTAGTCTCATATTTCACTACTCGTATATAACCACTCCCCTGGCTTTCTGCACCACTAACCATGCCCCTCTCCATAACTAACCATGCCCCACTTCATGACTTACCACGCCCCTCTCCATAACTAACCACGCCCCTCTCCACCACTAACCACGACCCTGCCTCTCTCCACCACTAATCACGCCAGTCTCCATGACTAACAACGCCCCTGCCTCTCTCCACTACTAACCACGCACCCTGCCCCTCTCCACCACTAACCACGCCTGTCTCCATATCGAACCACGGCCCTCTCTCCCATTAACCATGCCCCTTCACCTTTCCATCACTTTCCACGACTCTGGCTATTTCCACCACTAAACACATCCCAGCCCCTATCACCAACTAACCACTCCCCTGCCCCTCTTTCTCACTAGCCACGTTCTTGTCCCTCTCCACTACTAACCACGTCCCTACCCCCTCTACCATACTAACCACGCCCCTACCCCCTCTCTCTCACTAACCACGTCATTGCCCCTCTCTCCACCACTACCCACACCCCTGTCCGTCTCCAATACTCACCTCGCTCCTGCGCCTCTCCCCTACTAACCATGCCCCTGCCCCTCTTCAAAACTAACCAAGTCCTTGCCTCTCTCCAAAACTAACCACGCCCTGCCCCTCTCCACCACTAAACATACCATTGCCCCCTCCAATACTAACCACCTCATTGCCCCTCGCCACCAATAAAAACGTCCGTGCCCCTCTCCACCAGTAACCACGTCCCTGCCCCTCTCCACCACTAACCAAGCCCCTGCCCCTCTCCATTACTAGCCACGTCCTTGCCTTTGTCCACCAAAGGCAAGGACCCTGCCCCTCTCCACTACTAACCACGCCTCTCGCCGCCAATAACCACGCCCCTCGCCACCAATAACCACGCCTCGCCCCATAATTAACCACGCCCCTGGCCCTCTCCACCATTAACGACGGCTATCCCCTTCTTCACCACTAACCACGCCAATGCCTCTCACCACCACTAACCACGCCCATGGCCGTCTCCACCACTAACTACGTCCCTGCCTCTCTCCACCACTAACCACGTCCCTGCCTCTCACCACCACTAAAAAGCCACTGGCCCTCTCCACCACTATCCACGTCCCTCTCCACCACTGATTACGCCCCTCTTCACTACTAACCACGGCCCTCTCTACCACTAACCACCGGTCTCTCCATATATACCCACGCCCCTGGCCCTCTGCACCACTAACCATGCGCCTCTCCATAACTAACCACACCTCACTCCATGACTTACCACGCCCCTCTCCATAACTAAATACGCCCCTCTCCGTGACTAACCACGCCGCCCCTTTCCACCACTAACCACGACCCTGTCCCTCTCCACCGTTAACAACGCCCATGCCCCTCTCATGCCCACTAACCACAACCCTGCCTCTACGCCACCACAAACCACGTTCCAGCCCCTTTCCACCACTAACCACGCCCATGCCCCTCTCCATTACTAACCACGCACCCTGCCCTCTCCACCACTAACGACGCACCCTGTCCCTCTCAAAAAGCAAAAGGCAAAAAATTACAGACCGATAGCACTAACATCGCACATCATAAAAAAAATTTGAGAGAGTGCTAAGAAGTAAGATCACAAAATACATGGAATCACAGCAACTCCATAACCCCGGACAACATGGTTTCAGAACAGGGCGCTCTTGCCTGTCGCAGTTGCTGGACCACTATGATATGGCATTAGATGCTATTGAAGACAAACAAAACGCTGATGTAATTTACACAGATTTCGCAAAAGCTTTTGATAAATGTGACCATGGTGTTATTGCACATAAAATGCGTTCAAAAGGAATTACCGGAAATATAGGCAGATGGATCTACAATTTCCTGACTAACAGAACCCAATGTGTAATAATCAACAAAATAAAATCCAGCCCATCAACCGTGAAGAGCTCAGTCCCCCAGGGTACTGTGCTTGCTCCAGTACTTTTTCTCATCCTCATATCGGACATAGACAAGAACACAACCTATAGCACTGTATCATCCTTGCAGATGACACTAGGATCTTCATGAGAGTAGGCAACATAGAGGACACGGCGAACCTCCAGTCAGATGTAGATCAGGTCTTCCTATGGTCTACAGAAAATAATATGGTGTTTAACGAAGATAAGTTCCAGCTCATGCGCTATGGAAAAAATGAAAATATAAAAACGGAAACCACGTACAAAACTCAGGCAAATCATAGCATAGAACGAAAAGGCAATAATAAAGGATCTGGGTGTACTCATGTCGGAAGACCTTACCTTCAAAGAACACAATAAAGTAGCCGTCACAACTGCAAGAAAAATGACAGGTTGGATAACAAGAACTTTTCACACTAGAGATGCTATACCGATGATGATACTTTTCAAAACGCTTGTGCTCTCTAGAATGGAGTACTGCTACCAAAATGACTAACCAAACCCCTTCTCCACCACTAACCACGCCCCAACCCCTCTCCATTACTAACCACGCCCCTGCCTCTCTTCACAACTATCCACGCCCCTGTCCCTCTCCACCACTAACTACGCCCCTGCCTCTCCCCACCACTAACCAAACTCCTGCCTCTTTCCACCACTAACCACGCCCCTCTCCATGACTAACCAAACCCCTGCTCTTCTCCACCACTAACCACGCTATTGTCTCTCTCCACCACTAACCACTCCCCTACCCCTCTCCACCACTAACCACTCCCCTACCCCTCTCCACCACTAACCACTCCCCTACCCCTCTACACCACTAACCCCGCTCCTGCCCCCTCTCCACCACTAACCACGCCCCTACACTTCTACTCCACTGACTACGCCTCTGCCCTTCTCCACCACTAACCACGCTCCTGCCCCTCTCCATCACTAACGAAGCCCATGCCCCACTCCATCACTGACCACGCCCATGCCCCTCTTCACCACTAACCACGCCCATGCCCCTCTCCACCACTAACTACGCCTCTCTATATGGCGAACCACGCCCCTGCCCCTCTCCACTATTAACCACGCCCCCTGCAACTCTCCACCACTAAACCACGTCTCTCCCTCTCTCCTACAGCGACCTGTCAAGGAACAATATCCAACACCTCAAGAACGGGACGTTCAGGCACCTGTGGAGGCTCCGTATTCTCCTTCTTAGCGACAACAACATCACTGCCCTAACGGAGGGCGCCTTCCTCGGCCTCCACAACCTTCGCACCCTGTGAGTACCTGCCTCCACAACCTCCACACCCTGTGAGTACCTACACTCTTTGAGTAGTGAGTATGTGTGTACTCATATCAGGAGTCACTTCTAAGTGTACTCGTCTTGTAGTGGCACAGGTGAACAGGCAAATGTATGCCTTCACAGGGATTTTATCCTTATTCCTTGTTAGCATTGTGGCTCCTGTGACGTCTACACCAGTGGTCTCAAAAAGACGAAGATGGACCACTCGTTCCCTGGGAAGTGGTGGTGGTCTTGGATAAGGACACAGCCGAGCATCGTTCCTCTGGCAAACTACACAGGATTTGAGAATAGACTTTACATTCTGGCGACCTTGAGAATGCCAGTACTGTTGTCTCAATGCAGTGAAGGTATCTTTTAACCCGCCACCATGTGGGTTACACTGTACCATGTACGGTGCTGTGTCTGTGTATATATATAATACAATCAGCCTGCTTTCCCAGTGGTTGTGAGGGAGAAACCACAAATGTTTAACGTCAAAATCAACATTTAAACGTTGTATGGCGCTTACAACATGCAAATGTTGATTTGCACTGCATCGCAAAATGTTGTAATGGTCTGACTCAATCCAGAGACCCAGATCATTAATAGTCTTAATTAATTTAACACTTTCGCCCAGCGATAACTCAGCATTGAGTCCTCCGCAAAATAGGGGCAAATCCGGCGAGGACTCAGCATTGAGTCCTAATTCCGGCAACAGTACTGTCTTTTTCGGGAAGGTCTTGCTGCGGTTTTGGACATTATATGCATATACTCTAGTAGGGAATTTCATACCAAAATTAAAGTCCTAGGACCAGAATTGAGGTAACAGAGTTGAAAACAGAATACCCATTTTATTGCTCTTTATTAGCGCTCACGGGGGTAACGCTCTGTCACTTTCCCCTGCTAGTTGTGGATGGTACGCCGGGCTTTTGGACTTTATACTTGCATACTCCTGTAGGGAATTCTATTGCGAAGACAATGATACCAAAATGAAAGACTTAAGACGAAAATTGAGATGTCCAAAGTGAAGAGAGTGAACACATTTTATTGCTCGGGCTCGCTCCGGGTAACACGCTCTCACTTTCTCACTTTCTCTCCGGGCTTTTGGGCTTTATATGCATTTAGTCCTGTAGAGAATTCTATTGCGAACACATTGATACCAAATTGAAAAACCTAGGATGAGAATTGAGATGACAAAGTTGAAAAGTATATTCACTTTTCATAGTGAGAAGCGCCTTGGGGTGGCGCAGCTCTCTCTTTCTTGTAACCAAGGCCTGTTTTCATCATGTCGGCGGGTGGAGATCGCTGCTGTTTTTTATATTATATGCATATAGGCCTGTTGGGAATTCAATTGCGAACACATTGATACCAAAATAAAAGACCTAGGACGAGAATTGAGTTGACAATACTGAAAAGAGTGTAAACATTTTATCACTCCCGGGTAACTTTCTCTCACTTTCTCTGTTAGCTGCGGATGGTAAGCCGGGCTTTTGGAGTTTATATGCATTTAGGCCTGTAGAGAATTCTATTGCGAACATATTGATACCAAATTGAATATCCTAGGACAAGAATTGAGCTGACAAAGTTGAAAAGATTATACACTTTTCAGAATTTACCGCGCTCTCCCTCTTGCTCCTGCAGAACGCCCAAGCCCACCTAGGGTAGAGGGGAGGTCCCGCGCCTGGTGTGCGAAAGTGTTTTAACAGGGCGGTTCTCAAAATCTCTCCCGCCCCCCCCCCCCCATAGGTTTTAATCTTATCATAAATCTCAACAAAAATCACATCATTCTAGGAGGTGATTTCAATATTGACCTGGGTCTTCAAAATAACCCTTAAGCTGACTATTTCCGTAACAGCAGCCACTCCTGTATGCTAATCCCCACAATCACCAAGCCTACCCGAGTCACTCAAACATCTGCCACTACCTTGGATCACCTATGATCCAAGCATAACAGCTCTTCTTACATCTGGGGTAATCTATGACAGAACAACTGACCACTATCCTACCTTCCTCATAGCAAACATGAACACAATACCACCAGAGAGCAAGAAACTCTCATTCAGGCTACACAGTGAATCAGCTTTAGGCAATCTCTCTAATGCACTTCACAATATTAACTGGGAATCTGAATTCAATAATACACATGATATAAACTCATTAACTAACCTCTTTCTCTCCAAAACTCTAAGCCTCTACAACACTCACTGTCCCCTCCTTACCAAACAAGTAACTGACAAAAGAAAAAATAATCTGTGGCTCACAAGTGGCATAATCAAATCAATCAACAAAAAAACATGAATATGAAAAGAAATTTAGGATTGGCCTAGTTACAAAGGAAGTAGTTAAAAGGTACTCATCAGTGCTTACCAGTATCATAAGAAAAGCCAAACTTTCATATGAGACTAGATTCAAAGAAGGAAATGGCAATATGAAAAGCACATGGAATACCATCTCTAATATCCTAGGAACAAAACAACACTCCCACAACCAGATAACACTCTCTAATAATGGCCTTTCACCGTCAACTAATTTAGAAATGGCGAATGAATTTAATAGCTTCTTTTCATCGGTTGGTGCTAACCTTGCCAGAAAAATCCCACAGACTCAGACACATATGAACACATATCTCTCAGGCAGCTATCCTAACTCTCTTCTTCTTTCACCAGTCAGCCTGACAGATGTTGTGTCCATCATACACTCACTAAAAACCAAAGCTCTGAACATCAGTGAAATCCCATCCATTGTATACAAGAGCGCCTCCCACGCCCTTGCGCCACCTATAGCTCTGCTGTTCAACAAATCCCTTGAGTGTCATACCTTCCCTGATATTCTTAAAATAGCAAGAGTAACGCCAGTTCATAAAGGAGGTAATCCGTCAGACATAAACAATTATAGACCAATATCAAACCTACCCATACTATCAAAAATATTTGAAAAAATTATCTACAAACAGCTCTACTCCTATCTCGTAAAATTCGACCTTCTTAGCTCCTGTCAGTTTGGCTTCCGCTCCCAAAAGAGTACCAACGATGCAATTATTAGTCTCCTTGATATAATTTACTCAGCCCTTGACAAAAATGAGTTTTCGATTGGACTCTTCATTGACCTGAGAAAGGCCTTTGATACTGTTAATCACTATTACCTCCTACGTAAACTCCATCATTATGGAATCCGAGGCCATGCACTGGACTATATCCAATCCTATCTTAGTGACAGACACCAATGTGTAACCTTCAATAATATAACCTCTCCCACTCTACCAATAACCGTTGGAGTGCCACAGGGCAGCATCTTGGGACCTCTCCTATTTCTTATGTACATCAATGATCTGTCTAATATCTCTAACATTCTGAAACCTATTTTGTTTGCTGATGATACTACCCTCATCAAGTCTAACCCCAACCCACATACACTAAATGACGTTAATAATAAACTAAAAAAAAGTCCACTTATGGATGTCAACCAATAGACTAACACTTAACATAAAAAAGACCTACTTCATCTTATTTGGAAGCAAATCTACAAATGCAATTCAGCTTCAAATAGATAATGTAAACATTAGCAATAAAAATGATGGAAAGTTTCTTGGCCTATTCCTAGACAAGAGACTCAACTTCAGCACCCACATACAATACATAACTAAGAAAGTCTCTAAAACAGTTGAGATACTCTCCAAAATCAGATATTTTTTGTGTCATTCAAAAACAAAACTAAAAAGTATCTAATTTCATCTGCATAGTTTTTTACCTTTTGCTTTAAAATCTTCCATCCACTAATTTGGCTCTGTTGCTACCTTCGATAGTTGAGAGTATTTTCTTCTTGATTTTCTCCTTAATCTGTGAAAAACTTTTGAAGATCAGAAGAAGAAGAAGAAAAAATCTGTGAAGAGATACATGAACGTGGACAACAGGTAGAGCAGTGGCAGTTTTTGCTAGTGAGTCTGCCTTTTCATTACCATCTATGCCAATGTGACTTGTATCCAATTTTGGGTGACTGACAGCCCGAGCTTATGGGCTTCTTTCCCTATTTGTTGGATTTCTGTGAGGAGTTGTATATTATCTCTGTGCTGACTGGATAACAATGCCTGGAGCAAAGATTTAGAGTTGGTATGAATGATGACATCATGTACATTATTCTCAATTGTATAGTTTATGGCCTCCTTCAGGGCATATAATTCTTTTTGCAGAATCCTGTTTGTATATGAGTGGGATTGGGTGGTTATAAATAGGAGCTGCCTCGTATGGGCCAATAGGCCTTCTGCAGTTACCTGTGTTCTTATGTTCTTAAGTTGGATTAGGGCTTGGCTATACCCAAGGAAACAGTTAGAATAAATGGGGATTAAGTCAGTTGGAAAATGTTTTAAGTGGAGTGCCTCTAGGCTCTGTCCTGGGATCTCTGTTGTTTATAATATATATAAATGATTTAGATTCAGGTATGAGTATCAACATTTGTTATCTTTTTATTCTAGCATAGTTGAGGCAGTTGATAGTGGTAAGAATTGTGATGTCGTGTACCTTGACTTTAGCAAAGCTTTTGATACAGTGCCACATGAAAGACTGATTAAACAGATAGAGGCTCATGGTATTGGGGGTGCTATATTAAGCTGGATTAGGGCATGGCTATACCAAAGGAAACAGAGAGTTAGTATAAATGGAGTCAAGTCAAAGTGGGAAAATGTTGTTAGTGGAGTACCTCAGGGCTCTGTCCTGGGTCCTCTGTTGTTGTTATTAATATATATAAATGATTTAGATTCAGGTTTGAGTAGCAACATCTGCAAATTTGCCGATGATACAAAAATCGGTAGGGAATCAACATGGAAGAAGACTCACTATCACTTTAAGTGGATCTAAATAGGGTTTTGAAATGGTCAAAAGATTGGCAGATGCAGTGTAATGCTGATGTAAAGTTCTGAGGCTAGGTGATAGAGTTACAAGGTTTGAGCTAGATGGTGTTGAGATTGCGAAAGGGATCTGGGAGTTATGATTAGGAAGAATTTA